GAGGTCCATGTCCTCACTGAATACTCACTTGGTGGCACCTGCTGGAGCCACTCCTCCAAGTGACTGTTCACATCTCTTGAAAGGGAGCTTTATGAAACAGCTCTCCTAACCTGGAGTGGGATTTAAAACCACAGGAGCCCAGGAGTCTTATAATTAAAGGGAAAATGCAACCAGCAGGAATTTGGGGTGTGGTCTAATGAATTCTATTTGAAAGTGAAATAATAGGTGGCAAATTAGTGGTACACAGAATCCAGCAGAAATTCTAATTAAACCAGTAATTAGAAATGATGGAATACAGGGAAGGGCAATTTGTTATCTTCCAATGATCTGTGGGTAGTCTCTGGAAGACAGAGTGGCAGCTCAGTAGGACAACTGCAGCAGATGACATGAGCTCAGGGCCTGGGAGCTAGGGCATTATTTCCTCCAGCCCCACACTTGCCCAACCCTCACTCCACAAGAGGCCACAGAGCAAACAGGGCTTGAAGTCTCAACTCCCAAGTGGGGGACTCAGGCTGCCCAGGACTCGCCTGACCCAGAATTATTCTCTAACAAAATATACCTGGTTCTGAACATGAGAATAATTTAGGACAGTAATCCATCTTGCGTCTGAGCTTATTCTCACATGTGAGTTTTCTATACACAGTGAATATCTAATTATATTTTTTTAAATAACTGGATTTGTCCAGAGATGAACAATGTTTCAATTTTAAAAATTACTCATGGTGGGGGGGAAGTATCAAAGGACTATGTCTCCACAAAATGGCTGCCTATGGAGCAAGGGTTTCTGGGAAGACCTCTTTGTCTGCTGGAGGTGGAGGAACATTAATGCACTCTCACTTACAGGAACTTCCCCACCATGATCAAAGGTGGTTTGGAGATACCAGGCAGGCTAGGACACTATGGGCCTGTTCCTCTAGGGATGGTGATTTCTCAGAGATAGAAAAGACGGGGAAGCAGGAGGAATCAGATGCCAAGTTTCCCAGAACAGCCGACGACACAAGTGGCAGGGTGAGGAGAGTGGGCCCTCCATGGAACAAGACCAGGAAGCAAGCAGCTGCTGTCAATAACGTGGAGTGCTAGCAGTTTTGCTCCGGGGTCTGGGGCCTCGTCAGAACTGCTGCAGGTCCTTGGCGCACACTCTCCAGCAGAGAAACCTGACACACCAGAGCTCCCACCAGCGACTGGCTGTCCTTGATTTTGCAGATGCAGAAATCCCCAGAACAACATCCAATCTGGTCTGCCTCTTTCCTCGCTGCTCCCAGCACCAACCCCTGACCTGGACAAACTTGAAGGGAATGAGGTCAGGGGTGGTAGAGGTCAGGAAGAGAAAGACGGACAGGACATAAAGACTGAGCCTGGGATCTTCTTCTGGATTCCAGCCCACCTGGCACCACATACCATATTCCCCAAACCTTGGAAGTTTAGGTATCTTCATTCTCTACCAATTTCCCATGTGTGGAGGCTCCTTTCCCCCTTTCTCAGGGCGCTAGCTGAAAGAACTGGACCCACAGGTTTAGACGGTCTCAACTGAGTAAATGCCTAGGTTGTCAGCAAACATTTATTAAGGTATTACGGATCCATATCACATAGTGGTTAAGCACAAGAGCTTGGAATCAGACAGACCTGAGTTCAAATTATCAGGTTGCCACTGACTACTTGTGTGACCGGAGCAAATTACTTAACCTCTCTGAACCTCAAGTCCCACATCTGTAAATTGCAGAGAGCAATCTCTGTCTTCTGGGATTGTAGCGAAGATTAAATCAGATGGTGTATGAATAAAGCATTTAGCACAGCGCAGAAGCCTCAGTAAAAACCTGGATATTATCACTGTGTGCCAAGTATGGCGCAAGCTGCCAGAATCCAGAACTGCACTTGCCCCTCCTAAGAACAGGCAAAGTAGGCACCTCCATGCAGGTCACTGTCCCACCTGGGTTCGGGACAGTGCGCTGACACAGAGCGACCTGTGGTACCGTGCCTCTGACCTCTGGAAGCCTGGGACACCAGTCGGGGCAGGTTGATGCAAAAGGACTTTGCAGGGATAACAGGGTTTTTCCCCATCCTGGTTCTCCAGGTGTTTGGCTGGGAGGACTTCTTGCAGTCCAGCCTGGGAGCAAGTGATAACTCAGACTTGGTTCTAGGAAAAAAGCCCAAATCCATTTTCCCTTTAAACTATTCTGCTGCTTATCTTAGCAGCTTTAAAGGGATTAATGATGAATTGTCCTGCTTCAGCAAACCTGGCCAGAAAAGGAGCATGAGGGAAGGGAAGATGCACAGGCAGAAGGAACCTGCTCCTCAGGAATCCTCTCATCTCTGTCTTTATCATCCTTAGGATTTGCTCCCAGATGCAATGAGGGGAGCATTGATTCTGGGGTGCAAGTACCACACACACACATGCATACACACATGCACACACACATTTCCAGTAGCAGACTGGAGTCCCCTGGGTCAGCATAGCCTCCTTCTTACTGCACTGGGGATCCCCTTATTTGCTCCTCTCTTGAGGCACACACATCTTAGTCTAGACACGTTATGGACAGAGGGAGCAAGGCGTCCAGGATCCTTCAGGAAATGCAGGAGACACACTCGTCTCCTCTCCAGGAAAGGCCAGCCCCGCCTCTCCTGGACAGTTCTCTTGCAGCTCCCAGCTCCATTATGGAAAGGACAGGTGGGGAGGGGGACGGCAAGACTGGACCAAAGGGCAGGGACCCCTGAAGTCCACCCAGCAGGTGCAGGCCATGCTCAGGAGCAATCTTAAGGAATCAAGGTCTGTGCTGGAGTCTCGCCTGGAGCTATTGCAGGCAGCAGAGGGCACCCAGCAACCACGCACAGCCCTGCCCACCCACCCTCATCTCTCCCCCCATAGCCCTGTTCTGACTCAGGCTTTCTCATTCCCCTATTTCAACCTGAGGGTTGGAAATAGGTCAGTTTGAAGCTGAGTTATAGGTACCTTCCAACCACATGGGAAGCCCTGCCACTTTGATTTGTCTCCAACCCCCACCCCCATCCCGCATCAAGGAACAAGGACAGAGTGAGAAAGAGTCACCTCTAGTTAAGGCCCATGAGGAAAGGGGCGGGGAACTAACCTTTAATGAGCATCTTCAACCTGTCCAGTGCTGGGCTCAAAATAAGCCTTCAGAAAAGGTACCACAGGCATCCCTGTTTCACAACTGAGGAAACCAAGGCTCCAGAGGTAAAGTGACTTGCCCAAGGTCACCCTGAGCTGGCACATGGCAGAGCACTGGGCTCAATTCTGACCACAATCACAGAGCCTCCCCCAGAGCCTCTCCTCCAACCCATTCCCCCTCAACCTGGCCCTGCCCACTTCCCTGTGGGCTCAGAGCTCTAGGACCCTTGCCCAGGAGCCAGGCAGCCTGAGCTCTGCTTAGCTCACTCTGAGGACTTGCCCACCTCTTGTCAGTGGCCCCCAAACACTGGGCACTTGGGCCATTTCTGCGCACAAGTCCCAGTAAAGAGCTCCAATCAACTCATAAACAGCTGACACACAACTCTGCATGTGACTCAGGCCAAACAAACTCACTCCAATCGGAGCTGGTGGGCACAATCTGCCTCCTGCACTGAGTCACCCTCCAGGCTGAGCTGTAGGGACTTGCTGAAACCACCTACTTAGCTACAGCTGCTCCATTAGAGAAAAGGCCAGCAGAAAGCTGGAGCCTCTGATGGTCCCCATGGATGGGCCACGGCCAAAGACAACCAGGTGTGACATCAAAGCCCTTACTGCCCAGGTGATAGGTCCACTCACTGGACCATGGGATAATGTAAGCACAGCGTGAGACACAAGATGCTCCCACCATTAACCTCAACACACGCTGATCTTGTTCTCCAGATATCAATAAGTGTGTCCGGCATAGCCTAACAGTTAGGCTCTAAGTTTTGGTGGAATGTTTTTTGGAGCCATTATAGGATTTTCTTAATTCCTGGAAGTTCCTGTAACAAGGGCAGCACCCTCAAAAGAATCTTCCTTTCCTACACCACTCCCCTATCCCTCCAATGCAGCCCCACCTGCCTCCTGTTCACAACTGAGTTGCCACAAAGGTAGCTCTGGTTAGAAATTTCCTAATGCATAAAGTCTTTTAAAATACTTCTCAAAGAAGGAAAGAGGAATGAGATCAAATTATTTCTTGTTTAAACCCCACTTGACAGCGACTGGGTCCTGTAAGGTGAGTGGCCTCCGGATTTCTGAACACTTGGAGCCCTGACAGGGGTGCTTGGGCTTGAAAAGGAAACAGCACGCTTCCTTCCAAGGCGGCCGCGCCCCTGGAGGAGCGGCCATCCTGGAGCATCGCGAGCATCGCTTGAGAGCGCGGTGCACACAGGAATAAATGTGGCAGAGGCCTCTCTCCCCTCCAGACCTGCACCCCGCGCACGTCCCCCGTTTCCGCCATTCCATTCCCAGATGCGCTTCCCTCAGGGAGCATGGGCTCCCCGCTAGCTCCGAATTCAGCAAGGACCAGCCCCAGGACGGGAAATTAAATATTCATCTCGGGCGTGAGGTCTCTGCTTCTGCCAATGTTACTGTCAAGGTCACGGGCCTGAAGTCGAGCGGCTGAGGCCGGGGTCTCCAGCCGCTCAGGAGCCTCCCGCGGTAACTGCGCCCTGGACGCGCAGCTCCAGGAGGCGAAATCGGCTGGGCCTCCTCCCCGGTCCTCCGCGGGCGCTTGTCTCTGCAGCTCTGCCCGATTGCCTCCGGAGTTCTCGGGCCCTCCTCAGCCCCGGAAACTGGAGCCCAGTGCCCAACCCGTGCGCGCTGTGTTAGGCAGCCCCGATGCGCCGGAGGAGCTCCAGCCCCAGGGCTCCGTCGCCAGGCAACAGAGGCTGGAGCGCCAGAAAGAGCCTTGGGCCCGCACAGGGCCGGCCGGAGACCCGGGCAGCGCCACCTCGCACCTCGGTCCTTAGGCCTCCCTGGCTGGGACGGGGCCGAAATAGCTAAAGTTGCAGCGGCTGGCCCAGTAAAGCCAGGCTGGGCGCGGCGGGCGACTCACCTGTCCCGCGTGGTTCGTCCCGCAGACTTGGCCCCTGCCCTTAAGCCGAGCAGCTGCGGTCCCCGACGGGTCGCGGGCGCACCTTCCCACGGGCAGCCCGAGTGTGGCAGCGACGGGCCCCGGCCGGGACTGGGAAGGGACCCGGAGTCGCGCGCCCGCGCACGCGACTCTGCTCGCTCCTCGCTCCCTCCCTCGCCACCGGTCCTGGCCCGTCTCCCGCCTGTCGCGCGCTCAGGCCTCGGGGGAGCGGCCCTGGGACCCAGTTCCCGAGAGGCGGAGGGAGCGCATGGGGGCTGCGGCCACCGGAGCCGAGTGCCGCCCTCCCTGCGCCCGGGCTGCACCGGCTCTGCAGAGCGGAACGGAGCTGGGCGGAGCGCAGCGCGCACTGTTCCCTCGCTTTCGGAAAGGCCACCCTGGCGGCGGGGCGCCGTGACGCAGGCTTGACTCACGCGCGGGCCCGCGTCAATGCGAGGCTCTGGGGCCGTGATCGAGGCTCTGATGGCCGACGCAGGCGGAGGAGGTGGGCAGGGGGAGTGTGAGGGGCTGCCCCCCGGAACAGCCTCTTGGGGCTCCTGGACAAGGAACCCAGACTCTGGAGCAGCATCACCAGAGCTTCTGCCCTCAGAGAGAAAAGGGGTCCCAATGGCCAAAGGCCTCCCTAAGCCCTGGTCCTCACTTCCTTCACCTTTTCAGGCCCATCTCTTTCGGCGCTCCTTCGTGAACTCAATCCCACCCGAAGTGTTTATTCCCCCTGCCCTGGCCACTTCCACCTCCATGACTTTGTTCACTCTGTTCTCCTCACTTGGAATGCCCTTTCCACTCCACTGCCCTTCCATCCTACTATCCTGCAAGACCATTCCCTATGCAATTCAACTCTTCAATACATCACTCATCTATTGAGCTCCTACTGTATGCCAGGGACTGCAGGGGTTGAGAAGATCAGAGATGAGGCTATGGAACCTCTGGGAGAGGCAGAGTGGGGTTGACCCAAGTAGCCGTAATACAAGGCATAAGGACTGAAGAAGCCTACAAGATGAGTAAAGTGGGGGACAGTGAAGGGAGAGGGAAACTCTGACTCTGGGCAGGCCTTATGGAAGAAGAGAGACAGGATCCTGGCTTCAAAGGGTGGACAGGACTTCAGACAGAAGTGGGGAAGGATGCCCCTTGTGGAGGGGACAACATGACAAGGGCTAAAATGCAAGAGAGTAGAGAAGGTGTGCAGGGGAGATGATTGCCTGAGCTGGAGCAGGGGTGGGGTGAAAGGAGGTGAAGTTAGATGAGAGGTAGGAGCCATCCTCCAGGGCCTTGGAGGGCTGTTTGGAGAATCTGGAATAAATTACCTCTGCTCTAGCAGACACTAAGGGGACCTCAGCATTAGAGACAGGTGTTGGGAGGGATGGGAGGTGGAGGCTGTCCCAATTGCCCTACTGAAAGATGAGAGGACCATTGTCACAAACTCTGAAGGCTCTGAGATTTTACCCTTGCAGTCTAACAAGTTAGCCTGCCACAGTTTCATGGATCCTGGCAGAAGACATGAGACTCTTGGGCCAGAGACGAAGGACTTTGTTACTCATGGCACAGCAGGCAGCATGAGCTTCACATTCAGATCAGTTTCCCTTAACCTCAAGCCCCATGGGAGGGACATAGGGATGGGCTGGTGATAGTGCACATGCTGAGGAACTGCAAGTTTAGGAAATCTCAACCTTTTATAATAGCTGCAAGCAAACCTGCCCAACCGTTGCTCTGGAAGGGAGACATTCTCATTGTTATACTAGACAACAACAAACTTGCCCTCTACTGGGGGAGACACTCTCTCTCTCTTCCAAAGCTGTTTGCTATGCAAACATCCTCAAAAAGATAGTCTGAACAAAAAGCCATCAGTGCCTCTGCCCACAAGACTTGTGGAAACAAGAGACACCCCTGGAGAATTATCTCCCAATAGACAAAGATCTTTTCACTCAACAACTACTTAGTGTTAGCCTAGTGTTTGCCTGACGCTGTACTAGGCCCTGAGGATACAGCAGAGAACAAGACAGACAATGATCCCTGCCCTCGTGGCGCTCACATTCTGGTGGACCCAACTAGTGACACATAGTAGGGTGGAGGGGCATGGCAAGAAGTAGCAAGTGATACAGGAGACATGACAGGTGAACAAAGAGAATGTGACAACTGACCTGGTGTGGGAGATGAGAAGAAGGAAAGAGTCAGAGATGGGTAGTTTTAGAGCAGAGAAACTTACAGGTAGCATGGCGATGGGAAAGGGAAAGGACTTTGGAGCCTTACAGACCTAAGTTTTCATGCTGACCTATATTTACTAGAGGTCCCGAGCAAGTGACGTAACCTCTCTGGGCCTCAGTTTCCACATCTGTAAAAGGAATAATACATAGCCCATAAGGTTGATGATGAGATAATTTTTAAAAAATATCTGGTATCACATCTGACATAATGTGCTTAATAAATGATTGTTGTTAGTGGTATTATTAGATGATTGTATTGTTATTAACCAAGATAGAGGATCTACAAAGAGAAACAAAAAGATGTGGGAAGCATTAGGGAAGAAGGTAATAAGATAAGGGATTCAGGACATATTGAGAATGAAGTATCCATGGGATATCAAGACGATAACCAGCAGATGTCCTTGCCTCTCTGCCCTTGTGTCACATCTACCCAGTAAGACCTTAACCTTAAATGAACTCAATACTTGGTTTCTCTATGTCAAGTTCTCTAGTGAAAAACACACTATGGGGCACATGGGTGTCCCTCTGCCTTCATGGTCACCAACTTCAAGTGGGCTCCTCCTGCTGCCCAACAACCTTCCTAAGACTCGCTGGTCAACTTACTTCCCCACTCTGATCAAGGCCACGCCAACGTTCTCCACTCTCCTCATACACCCACCCTACTGACCCTCCACTCCCACCCCATAGGTCCCTGCTTGCTTAGTTCAATCGGAAGCTCCCTCAGTTTTCCACTGAGGACAAGTAAACCTGCCCCACCTGCACCTACACTTGCACCTGCCCTCTCCACCTCCTTCCTCCTGATACAGCAGGGGAGAGTCTCTCCTGCCCCTGAGATTGGCCCTCACCTGTCCACTGGCTCCCCTGGGCCCACACTTTCTTGAGAACCTCAACCACTATCAGTTATTCTGTCTCTCCTGTCTTTCAACCTTTGCCTTTCTACTGGATCCTTCTTAGCAACTTTTAAGCATGTTCAAATATTTTCCTTTTAAAAAGTCACTAAGCTCTCATCCCCACATTCTCATTTTATTCCACATCTTCTGCCTCCACTTCCTCATTCCCCACTCATACCGTAACCCAGTTCTGCCCCATCATGCTGCCAAGATGGCTCTCTCTCACTAAGGTCCCCAATGACCTCTGTGTCACTAAATTCATAGGACCGTCTCCAGTCCTCATCTTCCTGACCTCTCTGTAATTATTGTCTTGGATGTCCTCTGCTTCCTTCTAGCACTCTCTTTCCAGGACTCCACACTCCTTGATTTTCTTCCTACCCTTCTGGCCACCCCTCAGTTTCCCTGCTGACCTTTAAATGTTGGACTTCTCCGAGCCCTAACCTTTTCTCATTCTACACTCTGTTCCTAGACCATTTCCTAGACCAGTGACTCCCACATTTACCTTCCCATTCCAGACATCTTTCTGAGCTCCATACACTCAACCTCCTCCTCCACCTTTGCACTGGGCTCCCTCAGAATCACCTCCAACACACAAATGCAAGAAATAAATTCAACATTCAAAGAGCTACCCTGTAAAACAGTCAACATTTTGCTTCTTGCTCCTTCTTCAGTGCTCCCTGGCTCCATGAATAGTTGAGCCAGCCAGAAACCCAATAATCATCCTTGAGATCTCCCTCTTTCTCACTCCTTCATGAAATCTGTCACCAAATTCTGGAGATTTTATCTCTTAAATACTTCTAGAATCTGGCCACTTCTCTTTCATTCTGCTGCCACAAACCTAGTCCAAGCAATAGTCATCACTCCCCTGGACTCTCCTACCACAATCACCTCCTAACTCCAACTCCTGCCTTGCCCCCTTTCCTCCATACAGCAGCAAGCATGAGCTTCTGGAGTACAGATATGATCACACCTTTCTCAAGCTTGCAGAGTTTTGCCCACATCTTTAACATGTCCTTCAAAGCCCCGCCTCATCTCTAGCCTCATTTCACACCCCTCTCCCATGACCTTCCCTGCAGCCCACTACCTACGCCAACCTTCTCTCAGCTCTCCCCACTCGCCCACTCCTGCCTGACTCAGCCTCAGCCCATGTGCCCTCTCTGCTGGGAAGCCTCCAAGTCCTACCTCCTCTTCCCATGCTCCCTGCCCACTCACCCAGAGAGTTCACCTCAAACCCTAATTTTTCATGCTTCTTCTGAGCACGGAGAAGAATTCTTCTCAGAATGTCCCAGGTGGACATTTCTTCTCCTTTGTAGCCCTTGCTATGATTGTAATTAAGTACTTAATGGTGTGACTGGCTGCTGAGTGATGGTCTCCTTGGCTGGTATGTAAGCTCCACAAGGGCAGAGACCGTGCCATCTTCAACACGGGGTGGACTCTCCATAAAGATTTGCTGAAAGAATAGATAAAGCGAGGTTAGAAATATGGGTATAAAGCCCAGAAAAGAGGGCTGGAGACACAGACTCGGGAGTCATAAACATAAGGGGGTGGTGAAGCAGAGGGGAACTGGCTCTCCAGAGGCAGCACGCAGAAGACGATCAAGAGCATAGAAGCTTGGGGGGCAGTGCTTACTGCTAAGGGGCTGGAGGAGCAAGAAGGGTCAGGAAAGAAGACAGAGAGGAAGAATCAAGTGGTGAAAGGACAATGTATATCACAGAAGAATTTTGAGAAGGAAAAGGCAGACCACAGTGTGGAAATCTTCAGCAAAGTTAATGAGGATAAAGCCTGGAAGGTGTCCTTGATGACAGCATGCATAGGGTTGTGGGCAAGAAGCCATATTGAAGGCCCTGAGGTGGAAATGGGAAGTGAGGCTTCCACCATGAAGTCCTCCTGAACCCTCAGCTCTCAGTGACCGTCTCTCCTCTGAACATCTAGAAAACTGATTCTTCCTTTTACCAGGGCTATAGAAACATATTTAAATTACATAGAATACTATTCTGAGGTAAGTACTATTAGTATCCCCATCTTACTAATGTGGAAACTAAGGCATAGAGGGGTTCAATTATCTCTCCAAGTCATACAGTGAGGTACACGCTGGTCCAAAGTCCTTGCTCTCAATCTTGACATTTAGGTCCGTATAATGTAGGTCCCCCTTCATGTCTATGCCTTGACTCTCAAATTAGAGTGTGACTGCTTATAGGGCAGGGACCTTTTCTTATTCATCTCTCCATGTCTCACATTCCAGCACAGTGACTCACACATA